AATTACTTTTCCTTTTTAACCCCTGAGAAGATAAGTGATAGGAACAGGTCTGCATCGGTGATTAAGAATTTAAAAATTATGAATAAATCTCAAGCATTGAGCTGAATCGTAATCAGACTCCCACAGAAACAATATTTCTCGATGATATGCATCTTTACTATTTTAACAGAGTCTCCTATATTAGGCTACAGCAATCTTTTCTGTTGAACTAGTTCACATAGGGCATCATGAGAGATTTGCAGGATTTTCCCACAATTTTTTGGACATTTCAAGCTAAAGAAATACCAACAATTTATATACCATTTGCAGTTGCAAGAAATAGAAACTTATAATGAAATACTTACATCATATGTATCTACGAGGGCAAGAACTATCAGGAAATGCCAGTGCATATGATGTGAATGCTGCCAGCTCACTTTGATTAGTCTCACAAAATTTGCCACGTAGTGAATTTGACCACTGCAAAGTATAAACATCCATCATCTCACACACATAATTCTATCTTTCATCCGGTAACTCTGCCAGAGATAAAGAGATGCTAGAATGATAGTCATCATTGATAACCTTGGGACAAAACGATCTTCTTCTTCTTCTTAATGATAGTCATCATCGACAACCTTGGGACAAAACGATTCTTCTTCTTCTTCTCCCTTTTTTTTCCATTGTGAGAAAAATAGTTTAAGGGAGTTTTCACAATGAGGAACAAGGACTAGAATTTTTTCCCAAGGATTCACTGTCCATGGCAAATTTTAACTTGGAATAAACATTATTCCTATAAGAAATCATCCAGTGGCCTCTGATTCTCATCGCCTTGGTTTAAAAATGCCTTTATGCAATATGCAGGCCCCTAATTTTCCTCCAAGGGAATAACAAAATTTATATTTTTTACCTCATTTTGTGGGTAGTCAACTGTGTGATCGCATATCATATATTATAGGTTTTCTTTCTCTGATTCTCCTCTCTCTCTGCCGACCAAACATCAGGAGAATTGTTATCCTCTGTCTTAGTTCTCTCAGTTATAAATATATGTGCTGGCTCTACTTTTATTAATAACATATGGTATTAATTATTTCAGTTATTTTCAGTCCTAATCTCTGGCCTTAAATTCTCACAGCTACTGGGCATGAAATTATATCAAAAATTTCATTCCTATAGCTAAAAAAGGAAAAAGAAAAAAAAAGAAAAAGAAAATATCCTTTCACAATTGTGAAAGTTCAAAAGATAACTAAAAAAATTTGAAGTTTACCAATACTTGCCATTCTCACCGTCAAAGACCAAATATCTCAATGGTCAAAGCTTTTAGGAGAAGGTTAACTTTTTATTAATATCTTTAACAAGCATGTTCACAGAAAAGCCTTTTTGAACTTGAAATGTAGAAAAAGCACAGCATATAAAACAGTGTACAGAAAGACTAATTAACACACAACTTAAATTCTGAGGAAAAGGCTTAATGGATTATATTAACATCCCCAACTTTCTCTAATCAATCACTATTATGTTCTTTCATCCGCCAGGGCAGTTAGACAACGCATTCAAATAGTTAATAGAGAGAAGTACATAATTAACACACGAAGGATGCAACGGCCCATATCATGACACCTGAATTTTGCTCAGCCATGATTGAGCCAAACTAACAAAGTCCTCACATGTACTTGAGCCATCTTGTCTTTGAAGTGATTTATCTATAATCTCGTCAGGCTCTGCAAGTTAAAATAAGCAAAGTATGTAAAACAGAATGAATCATTTTACACAGCAAATGAAAATTTTCACACAAAAGCCACCCAAAAACTGATAAAAATATGCTCAACAAAACTTCAGAAAGAAGTTCAATTGTCCTGTTTAGAGGGGATCTATCTCATAATTTTGAAGTTTCATATGGTCTAACTTCAAATTTATGGGGTCTAACGCACATTTCAATGAAAAATGAAAAGGGAAAAGGTTTGCTTAATTTCTCATTTGTTTCTATCATATTCACCCAGTTTGCTTAGGCTTGTACAGTTGCTTTTGTCTTCACCATAATCTCCACCATGATTCCAACAATGAATCTGTTCTTTTTTATTCCCAAATTCTCAGCATTAGAATTCAAACAGGTTTATAAATGTCTAAAGTCTGAACTATTTATGCTGCAGAGTAAGACCTTACAACTTGAAATTGGGGCATGAAAAATAAAAATTGCAGCAAACAACAGAATGTTGCCATTTACTAGTACACTTGTATATCTTTTCCAATATGTATGACTTTCCTATTCACTAATGCATAGAAACTAGGATAAATACCACACAACAAGCCTTGTCCCACAAAGTGGAATCAGTTACATGGATTGCATCATGTCATTACACCCCTATCAACAACCAACTGCTTATAATATGGAAATAAATATTAGAAATATATAATCAAACAAAATTATGTTCCACTTTTAAGTATGTGCATGGATAGGTTAAGCAAGAATCTTTCTGCTTTGAACTGCATTGGGAGACATATCACTACAAATGAACTAGCATATGAAATGAAAAAGTTCATTAAACATCAGCCAAATATAATAATAGTCACTCCTTGTTCACCCAAAAAAAAAAAAAATCAAGTGAAATGATCACACACCATATATGAGCTAACAAAAGCATGAGAATGAGTGCCACGAAGGGGTATGCCAAATAACCTTCCTGCTGCAACATTGCTATTGAAACACAGCATGAAAAAGTCAAGTTATTAAAAAGAAAAAAACTATTAAGAATCTTCCAAACCAAAGATAAAGAAAAGGTAAATCATATTTTCTCATACCAATCTCACTCCCTAAGTTTTGACATAGTAATGTTACTTCTAGCACCTCATATTTGTACATACAGCTAGTTTTAATGATAATGTTCATAACATGACACTCACATGCCTAATATCCTGAATGTTTTCAGACTGTTAATCTATATGAGCAAATAAGAGGCGATGCCATATTTTTGTCCAACTAATCATGTGGAAATTTATGCACATTCAATACAACATCTAAGGAATGGGGCCATAAGAGAGTTGATTATGTCATCTCTCAATAATTGATAAATTTTTGTTTGGAAATGTGAGAGCCATCATGAGGGGTATCAACATTAAATAGTAGGTTGGGAAATAACGTCCCAGTTTATGAAATAAAATAAAGAGGGAAGACATTGCAATTGCATTGACATTAATGCAAGAACTTATATACTAATGTTCATCCATCACCACCCATCTGAATTATGAAATAAAGTAGCCTCACAAAATTCATAACTAATGATTTTTTGTTTGTACAATCAGATTACTAAATGGAACTACTCATGATTGAATGGTTGGTTAGTTCAAGATTTTATATCATCAACTGACCTATTTCTGTCCTGTCATACTAAATATGGTAGATTTGTGATGACGTATTACCAGAATATTTGAAATATTCTAGACTCTATTATTTTGAAGGCCTTGAGTCATATATTACAATGTACAAACCCACAGCAATTACTCTGCACTCACGTAAGAGCAGAGGATTTACCTATTCATAAACAATAGTTAAAAGAAAAATGCCCTCTTGTTTTAGATCAATAGTAAAGTAAAGCATTACAACTTCTCAAATAAAAATATTTATGTCATAACAACATCCTATTAACATTAATTCTAGCACTCGAGTAGATTATAGCAATGTAAAGAGTTAAGTCAACAAAATCTTAAGCGTGGAAAGTCAATAACTGCTAGAAAAGCATAATATAATAAACAAAATAGTGAAATATTAAATAAGTGATATGGTATAAAAGTTACTCAGCAAAATACTTCAATGCCCAACATTCTAAATGCAGTTTTAAGAAATCAGTAATGATAATACCTTGTTGCATCAAATCCTCCAATATAGCAGTACTTTGATGCTCCTATTGCACCATCAGGCCCCTACATTCAGAATAATAGATTCTTCTGATGAATTCTGAGAAAGGCCAACTGTTCCTAAGTTTACTTGCAGTAAACATTATTTCTGGAAAGCTTAGTTACCTGAGCCCTTCGTAGTCCAAACTCAAGTAGAAGTTTGGATTTCCCAGCAACAAAACGATGCCTAGCAGCATTAGTAGTAACTAATGATGCATAATTAACTAGATTCACAAAGGGTGTTTCCAGCAATTGAACCAGCTGAGCAGCATACAAGCATATAGGTCACTTTAGCATAAGAGTCGTATGCGTTCTTCAAAAGGAAATAGTATTCAATAGATGTCTTTAAATGGTAGTAACAAGCAAGTACTCACAGCAATTGGTCCTTCAATTCTCAATAGAGGTGTCTTAGGAAAAACAACCGTTCCCTCAGGAATTGCATATACCTCCACATCAGAGCAATCAATTCCTCTAAGATATTCAAAGAAACCATCCTATGAAAAGATCAACAATTACTAATGAGTCAAACAATTCACATGAAGAGAGAAATTAAAATAATGAAGGCCAACATAAATAAGCGCCACACATAATTACTGTAAAGAAAAGTATCAGCTATATCATTAAGGAACGCAACAAGATGCATATGGAAGCTCATTAACATTTCATGCTTAACATGGACATCATTTCACCAAGAAATCCAAATGATTGTAACTTTATTTAAGTATGCATATCTTAGGATTTGTCCCATTCCAAGCAAAGCTAGACAACATGTCTCAAGACTTTTGTGAACAAAAAGACATCTAGGTTAAGGTTCTTTCTTCTAATCTATGTGGTACTATTTCTTTAACAGCTAGCGACATGCTACAATCTAGCTTCTGCTCACTATTACCATAAGATAAAATTTCAGCAAGACACTTTGACAAATGATGGAGAGAACTTTAACCCTTTCATTGTGAAGAAAAGCCTGCTAATGACAAACCGGTGGGAGAGCTTTATAGCTTGGTTTACCTCACATGATGTAGGTAAAGTATGCTGGATGAATTTGATCTCCTCCTCTGTGAATTTGAAATTAGCTATGAACTTTATGCATTCTTCCAAACCAGCAAAGACTGTATACTCCCCACCAAAAGGATTCTTACGAAAATATAAATCAAACCTGAACCAAGTTAGAATCTCTATTAGACTAATACAAAAATCTTCTTATTAAAATTTCAAAGAACACCTGAGCACTAAAAGAAAATAAGCACGGGTATGCCACTAAGAAAGAAAGCGAGGACAAGCTCGGGATCTTTGGAGCGGTCAGTAAGGAGCCAATGAACTAGACAACGACAATGAAGTATATAGGTTCTGTAGTCATGGATGAACTAAATTCATTAATACAACAGAAATCATAAATAGAGCTAATTCATCTGAGAAGAACGCGTATGTTAGACTTAAGTAACATCTACACGTTATTTCTCTTAAACATTCATTTGCCGTCGTAGTCAATGGAATCAACCAATGAAAGCCTTTAAACGAGGACAAAGATATTCAACGCTTGCAATTCGTTACAACCAATCTTAAATAATAATTTGTGTTCTGTTCTTTCCAAGACTTGCAGGCCATTAAAAGAAAGGGAAAGGCAATACAGAATTTGAATCCCTGCTACCTTCAGTTGCATTTCTTAGGAGAAACAGAGGATAAAGGCAATAAACAAAACAGATGAAAACTAAAAACGATCACTCACACAGCTCGTTCTTGATGCTTGCCAGCTTTCCAGTAAGCGTAAGCCATAGTAAATTGGTAGAGATCCGTGAGCAGAGGCGAAACCATCGGGTTCGTGGGTCCATCAATAACCCGACCCGTATTCTGCTCAGTCGGGCCGTTCTCCTTCACCTTCATTGTTTTCTCCATCGAATTCCTAGGGTTTTCCCTGATTTTCTTTTTCTACCAAAATCTTTGTATTGCCGTGCTTTTCGTAGCTCGTGTATCTCTTATATGCTTCCCAGAGCGCTATCAATATAAAAGGTGAAACGAGCGCGAGCGTCACGCACGGGGTTAAAGAAGACAAACAAAGGTGGAGGGATGGTTCGTTGAAGTTTATCAGGAAATGTAGGTGTTGGACTCAAACTGGAAAACGAAAAGGAAGAAGAAGGAGAATTAAAAATGAATAAAAGGATAAAAAGTGGATCAAGATGAGACAAAAGCTCGATGTGTGACCTTGGGTTCAACGCAATTGGGCATTTTCGGACGAGAACAAATTCATCCTCTGTGGACTACACAGCTTCGTCGCCCCTTAACGACTTTCTCGATCACGTGGCAGCTTCTCTGGTCTCCATTGTTTATCTGCTTCGTCACTGATTTGTTTTTGCTAACTACAAGTCGCCAGGTTCCCCAACGGACTCTCGGCCACCTTTAGTTGTCAGCCGCCTGAGTTAACATCAACATCGTCCCCGTCAATTTAACCGGTTAAAAATTAATTATTATAAAATTTATTGATAATAAATTTTATAATAATTAATCTTTTTATATAAAATTTCAACATAATTCTTCCACCATAATAAATTTTATGATAATTAATTTTTTTATATGAGATTTTAATATAATTCTTTCACCACTTGAGAACCTCTAGATAAGTATGCCAGTAATATTTTTAGACTCTCAAAATTTAAAAATGCTAATTAAATACCTCATTAACATTTAGAAAAAATATATAACTTAAAAAATTCATGGAGGAAGTAACAAGAAATTAGCCCCAATTTATAAGGTGTTTCTATATTTATTAATAAAGTTTATTGGATACAATTTACAATTTTCATTTTAGTTTTTTTATAAGTTTCTAAAATTACTGTTCATCATTAATAAAAGGGTGAGGGGAAAAATTATTTAAATAGTAAAATAATGAGAGGTGATATTGAAATAATTATTAACATTAGGATTTTATTTTTGGCAAAACATCTTATATTTTGAAACATAGAATTACTTCTAAAAATGTTTTATAAAATGGGATGTAGTAAGTTTTATTTTAAACTTTCATTATCTTATTAGAATATTGTTAATGTTGTATAAATTATGAAGTCTTATGTTTTATGTATTTAATTTTTGGCCCGAAACATATTTAAGGAAAGTTAAAGAAAGTTATACCTTTGTGCAATTTGAATCATGCATGATAACGAACCGGCCACTAAAATTCATTTCGAAATGCTGTTGATTCATGATCATGATAATTAATATTATTTTAAGTCATGTCTTATATAATAAATAATACCATTTCAGCTATGTTTAGTGACTATCCGGCCACTAAATTCATTTTAAAATTATGCTGATTCATGACCATGATGATTAATATGTTTTTGTACTGGGAGTCTAATTTTATGATTTTAATAAGCAGTAATACATATGAACTATTATTTCTCAATCTTTATTATTCAATTCATTCAATTTGCTAAACAATGCGTTAATAAAAAGTAATGCGTTTTACATATGGAACTTTGAATTTTTGTTTAGACTTGCACATGTTTATCACACAAAAAAAAATCAAAAGTAAAATTAAAAGTGTGCTAGCGTCAACAGGAGAAATAATAAAAGAAAAATGCGCATTTGAATGACAAACAAAAGGCAATTGAATAATACCCTGACTAAGAATAGTCAAAAAAAAAAAAATTGTGAGGAATAAAATAGTCTAAAAGTTTTGCTTTGACGGTCTTACTTTGTTTTTTAGTCACTGGACCAATTCTCTTTCCTTGTTTTGAATGGTATACTTTGAAGTCTGAAGTATTGGTTAAAAAAAAAAAAACACTTTGAAGTCTGAAGTATTGGTTAAAAAAAAAAAACACTTTGAAGTCTAAAGTCATAATTTAAGGCTATGTTTGGTTTTCATTTTGGGATGCTAGAAGTCTTTTGGAGAAGCTCTTTGCGTTCAAAAGTTGTTTGAACACGTTTTTAATTGTGAGAAAGTCCATTTGGAGACTTCTTTTCTTTTATTTTTTTACATTTAAAAAGTATTTTCTTCAAAAAGCTCAAAATTCTTGCATCGAAATTTTCCAAAAGCAAAAAGTCAAATGCCCAAGGGTGAAAACAAACAGGCTCTTACTAATGTGATTGATATAACTAATAAATACAAGAAATTTCAATCAATACGTTTAGTTATGATTTATTTTTTTTATTATCGATTATAGAAGACCAATGTAGCTTATGTTTAATGATAGCTAAGAAAGACAAGCTAATTGTCACTGAAAAAGGAGGGAAAAAAATACTAATAGCTGAGAGAGGCTTACGATTTAAGTATCTACAAAGAAGATTAAAGAATATCACCAAGCATTCTATCCCCTTAATCGTTATCGCAGGGATCAACGAAAAATCACGTTTGGCTCGAAAGCATCTTTGTTTTTCGCAAAGAATGTGCTTTTCAAGGACTCGGCATCGTAGAACAGCAAAAGCAAGGCTCTTATTCTTATGGATTAGGTTATAACACATTTCACTTTAATAAATAGTAAAGCATCCTAGGACTAACTTTGGCTAACATCTCCCTTTCATTGTTCAATCTTATAAGAAAGAGTTGTATTATTCATAAATTATCAATAATGTCTCACGTTTTTTTTTTGTTAAATATTCCTTTCAAATTTGAATAGTAGGAGTGGGACATGAGTCATCTTGTCTTTTGGCATTTGTCAAGAACCCAGGCCTGTTCATTAAGCTTAAATGACCAAAGTTCAAGTTCTAATTCTAAATTAAATAAAGTAAATACAGAAGACTCCGTTTTAATGGCGGAAAATGTGTGGCTTCTACAAGAGGCAAAAGCTGGCCAATGCAGGTATACGGTATTCCCACAAACAACTAAGCTAGCTTCATTCTCGTAATCATCACAATATGGATTTTGAATATTCTTCTACAAGTCCATTGTCATTGGATCCTGTCTCAAACAAACAAAATTTAAGACATGGCCAATGCACTTGATATGTAAATCAATGTTATATGCTTGGATCCAGATCCCATGCACCACATTTTAGCTACTACTTAACTGACAAGTATGAACCTAAAAATTAAGTTGTGTTCATTCTGTCTTAAAATGACTTCTCTCGCTAATCTCTTCCCGCAATGCATGTTTTCAATTCTTCACTCCGGTCGTTTTGCTTATCAAAGGCGAGTGATACTGAAGCCAACGTACCTGACTCAAATTCTCGTACAGCTGAGAAAACAAAAGGACAAAAAATAGAGGACATGAGCATGTTTGTTTGTGTATACTGTCAATTCTGTCAGATAATCAAATAATCATATAAGATGTCAAGATCATCACACTCTGAGAATCACCCATAGGATTGGTATTTGAATCTTCTGCATTTAATTGTTTGTGCTGATATAAGTCCTCCCTGCATATCTGCTTTATAATTCAAGAAAACAAGTCTGAAATTGACCGCTATCGGACAGACAAAAACATGTAACAAAACTTGAGCATACCTCAGAAGATGATGCTTTGAGTTCAAAGGGTCTAAGGTGCCCTATGATTTGAGAATCCAACCCAAAAGGTGTTTCTGAATTGATTATATTTAAATGAGAGGGCACAGTGCGTTTGTTAGATAGATTGGATTCATTGTCAAGAGGCATAGTAGTAGTTAAGTTTAAAGGACACGACCCGTCTTCTTCTTCGCCATACTCAACTCTCATCTGAGACAGTTGCAGAGGCTGCAAGCCTTCAGCGAAGCACGTAGGAAGCAAATTCAATCCGTTTCTTACAGACAGCATCTGAAGTATTAATCATTAGAACATATCAGAAACACACTGACCAAAGAAGTGTTCACCTACATTTAAGGACAAGTGACCATTTCACTGAGATTTTGCAACCATAAGGTATAGACAGCATCATATATAATATGTGAAAACCATAGGAGCGTTCATATTGATTGCTCTATAAAATACACGGGCGCCGCCCAAAAATTGCAATGTTGCATCGCACAGAACCCAATAAAACAAAAGCCTTTTCTATGCAGGATAATAACTTCCAAGATAAGTCTATAGGATTGCTTAATCAAGCTCCAAAATTTACAACCAACCCAGGAAGCAGAAACAAAAAAGTATCAAGGCCCTAAGGAAGGACAGTGCAATCACTATGCTATAAAAGCAGTGAAGATGAGCAATGGCACTTCAATTTTTTGCCACCACATGAAGCATCCGACATTCTGTTTTTCGCATGGTCTCGGCATCAATACAATGTAACAGTTTACTACTTGAAGTGCATATTGTTTAATCTTTTCTTAAAACCATGGTTCCAGCTAAACTTTTCTCAAATTCTCCAACTTTCAATTACTTGCCAGGTTCTGCAGATAATTGTTCCCACCCCTAACTTTACATCAAAATTATGACAATGGATAAACTTCAGGTGCTACAATGTTTTCTGTGACAGTCAATTTTTACTAACCTCAAAATAAGGATTTAGAATGATGAATACCAAATGAATATTTTGTAAAATCAAGAAAACCATTTTTGACAGGTTGTTGAAAATTATTTCCTTCTTTTTTCTTGTCTTCTGAGTTGCGCGCATCAAGGTCTTCCAGTATCAAGCAATGGAATTACAAAATTGTACAACGAGATCTATGCCTACAGTATGAATTCTGTCATCAATCAAGTAAAAATGGCGGGGATAAAATTACTGGTTTTAAAAGAGATATTCACCTGTACTTGAAGCTGAAGCTGTTTAAGATACTCAATAGCTTCATCAAGCATCGACGCCTTGTCAGTCTGCCAAGACCATAGACAAGAATCACCCATGTCAGCGGAAAATGACTCCCAAAACCTCAAGCGAACCTATATTAAACTAAGTGAAAAAGAAACTTAAAGTACCTTATTTGAATTTGGAATTAGATTCTGCAAAGCCTTCAGCTTTTCGTTGATCCGACTCCTCCTTCGCTGATCCAGAAGTAAAAGAAAACCAGAAAGAAATTTACACAAGCATGAAAAAGAAAATATCAAATCCAAGTACACCGGCAAAAACGGCCATGTTACACAATCATATTCCAATAACCTTCTCAGACAAGTTATGAACTTCTGCAGCTCTGCTTCTCTTCGATGAACGCCTAGGAGGAACTGACTTTGGAACCATTGCTTCAACCGTACCCTCCTAAATACAACAATGAACTGTTAAGTGACTGAGTTGCGTTTTCACTTCAGATCTTAGGAAACTCAAAAGATCCCGAGAATGGACAGAGCAAACATATAAAACCAAGGTACTCATCAGTCTGATAACAGTACCTCACTGTCATAATCATACTCATCAGTCTCATTCTCGCTTACTCCGACCGAGGAGGACGACACATTTGCAGCAGAACCCCCCTTCACGTAAGATGAGAGAAAGGCACGGTTTTTAGAGGCAGAATCAACGCCTGAGATTACATCTTGAAGAAGAGAAGATGGGTATGAAAGGCTGGCATTTTGATGCTCGGAAGCGTTGGGTGCGTTTTCAGGCACGTGGGTGAGGAGGGAAGACAGTGGCGGTGCGTCGGAGGAGGAGGGAGGAGGGAGGAGAATCTGATGCAGAAAAAGGGAAAATTCGTCTGGAGGTGAGGTTGAAGACGAAGAAGAGGGAATAACGTTACTCTTTCCATAGCCGTACATATCCCCCATGTCTCTCTGCTTCTCAGCTTTTAGATATCAATAGGAGAGTCAAGAGGGTGCTTCGTTTTTCCACACAGTTGGTTGCAGAATTTCTTTGTTGGGTTCGTGTAGTTTGGAGGGCTGCTTTGTCTTTATAAGCGTAAGTAAACGAGTAATGTACTTTTCGAAACTGATGACGTGCTCCGATATGGGAAATTGTGGGCGGGTTTAGTATCCAAATTATGACACCAGCCAGTATCACGCGCCACAGGAGCGTGAATGCAAACATCAACATTTTCATGCTCGAGCCCCATACCGTCATTAAAATTATTTTAAAATTATGAAATCCTCTCCCCTATATCTATTTAAAAAATATTTATAAAATTGTGTGCCTAGGAAATGACTCATAGCCCAAAGAATATTTATAAAATTACTTGTAGGTTACAATATTAATTTTGTCTGCATGACCAGAACAAGATTTATAATCATGATCTTCCACAAGCAAGCAATGGCGACCCACAATACAGGTAAGGGGCAACTTCACCCCTCATATGCATGTAGTATTCAATAATTCTTCCTTTCTATATCTATATTTTTTTGAAATAATTCTGTTTGAGATATAATGGTAATTAAATGTAATACATCTAATGAGAATTCTAATATAATCTTTTCTTCCCATTAATCCCTCCCTTTTATATTTATATGCTCATATACACACGTCCCAAATACACACACACACTTAAAAATAGGCACCATTATGCAGGTGTGTGTTATTATATTTATATACATATACAATAAGTTATACATATATATAGAGCTTTTACAAATATAGCTCATGTTATAGAATTAAATCAAGCAAACAACTTAATATTTATTATATTTTATATTATAACTAATTTATTATATTTATTAATGATATATTGTTATATATTAATAATAATTTTTTTATAAATTTTTAAATTTTTAATAATAAATTTATTGTACATTAATGATAAATTTTTTATATATCAATATAAACTGGTCACACTTTTAAATTTTCAAAAATTTAGTCTATATTTTGTGGGCACAAGATTTTTAAATTTTTAATAATAGACCTCTTTTATATATTTTTTAAGTAAAATGTTTTAGCATATAAAACTACCCTTCATATTAAATAGGAGTAAAATATATCGATGCCTTTCAAATATATTATAATTATCCCATTACTATGAAAGAGTATGTTTTACTTAAAACTAAATCAAATCAAATAATAAATTGAATCAGAGAATGTAAGGAAATATATTAAAAATATAACAAGCACTATATGTAATTATACTTAATTTATTATATACTATTTTTTAGTTGGCAAATTATTATTTATGATAAAAATTAAAATATTTAATAAACTATATATAATAATTAATTTCTGGAAAATTCCCCAAACTCTTGAGACTGGTCCAATCCAGTATACCATTACTTTGTGTTCAATAAAACGGTTGAAAAATTCAACCTGATTTAGTATTAATTTTTTAATCTAAGATTTCGCCAAATGTTAAAGTAGTACTAGTAATTTAATATTGACTTGAATAGCAAAGAATTAAGTACTTGATATCCCTGATTTCCTTAACAAATAACCTATCTTCCATATTATTCTAATTTTTTTTAATTTTTCTATAGAACGTGCACAAATATATATTATTTTCATATTAATAATCCCAAAACTCCTAACTATCGGCAATGAGCATTCAGTAATCTAAAATTAAAAAAAATAAAAATAACTCATAATATTATTTTAATATATGTAATACTAATTAATTCATTAAATCTCTCAAACATTCGTTAATTTATAATGTTAAAAGCTTTCTTAGTTTGCAGCCTATCAAGTTGGCTGTTTTATTGGAGAGATTATTTTCTTTTACTTTTTGGCTAGTGACAGGACAATTTTCTAAATGCATACGAAGTAATTTGAGAGAGGTGAGGTGGGACGGTCATAATTTGTAATATCTTCGTAGTCGAAGCAGGGTCAGACAATCACCAGACACAACCATAGGATGATCTGAAATGAAATGAAGTGTTCTTGAGAAAAAGCATTCCAATATGGGTGGCCTATACAGTGTATATATATTCTTTGCCGTTATCTCCACTGTCGCTGTCCCTCTCATGTTCCCTCGATTGAAGTGGTACTTCATAATCGTTGCTTACCTCCTCGCCCTTGCCCTCAGCTTCTACAACTACGACGTTGGCTTAATCGACATCAACATGGCCTATAACTGTGGCAAGGTGGCTCTCTTCATCCTCACCACTATGTCTAGCAAAAATGATGCCTTCATCATTGGACTCATTGGCTATGGCCTCATCAAATCAATGGTCTCCATCTCATCAAATCTAATGCATGACTTCAAAACCGGACACCTTGCCTTCACTTCTCCCCAGTCCATGCTCTTAACACAAGCCATAGGCATGTCGATGGGATGTGTGGTGGCCCCTCTGTGTTTCTCCTTGTTTTACAAGGCCTTCGATGTCGGGAATTTGAACGGAGAATACAGAGCACCACAAGCTCTCATGTGTAGAAATATGGCGATTTTGGACGTTAAAGGCTTCTTTACATTGCCACAACATTGCTTGGAGTTATGTTACGAATTTTTCACCTTCATTGCGGTAGCCAACTTGGTGAGGGATGTGGGAGAGGGCCCTCCCCATTTTTTTCCCTTCATTTTTCCTATTTTTACCATTTTAATTATTTTATTAAATAATTTTTTAAATGATAAAATTAATGAATGATAGAGATGGGAGAAATGGAGTAAAAAAAAAAAATGGAGAAACCTCTCTGTCGAGAAATGTGAGCCCAAAGAGGGTGGATCAATGAATCCTACCTCCAATGGTGGTGGTGGTGTCATTTTTAGTGAGGATTTATTTTTTAATAGACATCTGTGTAGGTAATGTGATGCTGTATGTGTAGCATAAGTTGAATATTAAATAGAAAATTTTGATAGGTGACAAACCAACTAAGCATTTGACACTATAAATTAACATACATTTAACAAATTTGATAAATTTATCATTATTGTACTTATTAAAATAATATTATGAGTATTTATATTATTATTTTTACTTTAGGCTACTAGATAGTTTTCACAAATGGGTTTATGGATATTTTTATCTTTTTACCCAATTATTTATGTCAATGATTTCATATTTCAAAACTATTTTAAATTTAAATTATCTAAAAATCTAGTAGTTAACTTTTTAAGACAAAAATACCATTAAATATCATACAATGAATAATTTAGTTTTATGATCCTTAAAGGGAGAAATCCAATAAAATTCCATATAAAAAATGAAAATATAATAAAATCCAACAAAACGTTAAAATACACTTAAAGCTTCAAGTTCATTTAATATAAATATACTTTTATATTCAATTACCAACATATCCTTGCATCTACCTCCTTGCTGAGCTGCTTGGAACGCTGCTTCACCGTTGATCTCTCCCTCACTGGACTTCCTTTGTCTACGGCTTCTCCTGCTCCCCTGACTCCACCCGTGTCACCCAAATCACCCTCAATCCCACCGGCTACTCTGGTTCACCCCTCTTTTTCATATGCACGAGCTTGGAAATGAGAATGAAGTTGCTTTTGCCTAAGCCTTTCATTGTCCTCGGTGAAAGCGGTGGAGGAGTTGTAGTTAGTGCTGTTTATAAGGAGAAGCGATCAGCGGTGAATTACACCATTTGTGCCGGTCGCCGTTCGGAGTCGCTGGGAGGAGATCGAGATGCTGAGTCTGAAAGGAAAGGGAATGAAAGTGGGGAACGTTGACGCTGGTGCTGTGATGGTTCTACTGAGTGATGATGATGAGGCTGAGCCTTTTACTTCCAATAGCTTTCGCACAGCAAGTGCTTCTCTCCGTTTTCCTTCGGTTGAGCCATTTTCCTCCGGCACAATCTTTCTAAATATCCATCCTGTATTCAGTTCAGAAATACGAGATTGACATTCACTAATGATGACAAAAGAAGGAACAAGACTCAAATTCGAGGAGAGAAGATTGCCGGTGAATGAACAGGAATTGCTGACGGCGGATGGTGAACGGCAAATTTCCAGAAGAAGCCGGGGCAAGAAGAGGGAGAGGTACAAAGATATTTTCATAATGAATTAATATACAATTTAAACTTTATGGACAATTTGAGCTTAAACATTTAAAAAATGTATTATAAATTTTAAATAATTATAGTTGATATAATTTTATCCTAACGTTAAATTTAAATTAATTTTTTTTAATTTTTTTTAAAATTAAGGCCTAATATGTCAGTTTTACCAAATAGTATTCTCTCTCTCTCCTATTTTTATTTGAGAAAAATCATATATTATATCTTGTTTTTTAAAAATTAACGGACATTTGTTTGAATTTATAGTGAGATGAAATTATCTCAATTTTAATTATTTAATATTAAGAATAGGCTCTCTCTGTTCAAAAAATAAAGTATTTTTAATCAAATTTTACCTCTCAATAAATAGTTACATACTTTTAAACTAATTCTATCTTTTCATGTTTACTCCTATTAAATACCCTATAATAAATATAAAATTATTATTAATAAGGACACTTTTGAAAAAAAAAAGGCAATGATTATATCTCAAAAGATTAAAAATACCTTATGTTTTTGAACATCTAATTTCTTAAAAAATACTTTATATTTTTAAACGAAGGAAGTATCTTTTAAAAGTTTAAAATTCAAATCATTTATAGACTTATAGTTTAGGGGGAATGGTATTAAGGGCCTTAAAAATAGAGTTCATTACATTTAGGGCCTAAATCATTCTGAAATTGCTCTGCGGGCCTTAGGGCCCCAATTGCAATTTTTTTTAGAACAAAAATATTATTTTATCTTTTGTTTGATTTGAATTTAGAACCTATGCAAACTCTTGAAGCAATGGAATAAATCATACACGACAGAACATTCACTATACACAAAAACGATGTCCAGGCATGATTAACAGAAAGTCTATGCATTTTGAGTATTTCATTGGCCTAGAGTCTAACAAAAATGACTAGATAGACCATGCACAACACAACATCCACTATGCACCAGACTATGTTCACGCATGTTCAACAGAAAGTCCATACATTTTGAATAT